CACATCATCTATCTTTTTTCAGGAATCAAATGATAATTTTGATTCTAATACATACACATATCATCTTTGCTTTGAAATCAAAAGATAATTTTGATCAGTATGTGATAACATATATAAGATATATCATCATCCATTGATGGATCTATAATCTAGAATATAGTACAACAATTCAAAATCATATTCCCTGGAAACAACAATAAGGTCTCCCCAAACAATATATATATATATATATATATATATATACACAAAAAAATGGGAATTAACTATGAGATATTTTTGCATTAATAGCAAAGTTTGGGACCTATTACAGATCATCGTGGTTTGGATTGAGAGCGAAGATTTGAGGGGCCTGACATGTTCGAGACTTAAGTTCTTGTTCCCTTTCTTTAATGTTGTCTGAGAATCAATCTTAGATGAAATTTTATGAAATCAAAATGATATTAGAAGCATAATACATTTACAGTTTTATGTAGTAATGTATTTATACTTCTCATTATTCTTATGAAAAGCGAGATGAGATACCTTTTGGTCTTTATAAAAAAACCAATAATTTATGTGAAGTTAGATTCTTAAATAAATGCTTTCAGAATTTTATAGATAATAACACTATATAAATTTTCTTAAGAAAAAGTGATATTTTAATACTTTAATTTGTTTATAAAACAAATAGGAAAAGGAAAATCAGTAAAGTTTATAATATGTTTGATTAATTAGTATGCCAGTTTGAGCTAAGCATTGAACTTGTAAATCTTTTATTGTTTGTAACGCTTGTTCGTATAGTAAACAATATTAATTTTCTAAAACAAATTTTCTAAAGTGTTGACCAGAAAAAAATTTACTATAAGAAAGTAATTCCAATGTTTACACCATAAACTGTTTGACTGAAACTATTAATGGTTTTGGTTTGAAATCCAAAATTCAAAATTATTAAACAGAGCAAATATATTACTTTAGGAAAATTACTAGGTGATTATCTGCATAATTCTTTTATTCAAAAATGCAAATATAATGTATATAAATAAAAATATAAAATGTTCGCTGATATTTTTAATTGCAAATATATGTGCTGATTATGAAATTATATATAATGATTAAAGTTATATTTATTTTGTAATACAATTGCATAAATGCTAGATATTAGTTTTATAATTGATTTTAATAATATTTTTATATGAATAAGTTACATATTAAATATATTAAATTGGATTAATATGTTCTATCTAACCTTTTTCGTGCTTTTAATCAGTTCTTGGATTTGCTCTTCGTTGGTCTCCACTAAATCTGGTGGGACACTGATCTTGAATTTTGCAAAAGGTCTTGGCTGGTGACCTTGCTTTTCCTTATCCTTCTCCTTTGGCCAATTACCCTTTGTCTAATCCTTGCAAAATATTTGAGTTTTACAGATTAAATGTTTGAGTTTTAAATATATAATTGATATAAACTAATCTCTAACAAATTGATGTTAATGGCATATGATGTAATTAATCTAATAAGTTGAACATACTTTCAAAAAATCTCTAAGAATCTTTCTGAGATTGACAACTCAACATTGCATTCATGTAAATAATACATGGGACAAAGGTTTTTGTAAGCGTCCTTATCAATTAATAATATAAGACTTGTCAATTAATAATATAAGATTACTGACCGTTTGAAAATTAGTCGACTTATTTTGTGAGTTTGTTTGACAATGATAATTAGTTGACTATGAACGCTTAATCTGATATTAGCTTATTATGAGAAATAAATGTAGGTTTTAGTTAGCTACAAATATATTGGGTATTGTAAATGAATTTGAACCTGATCCGGGCCCATGGGATCCCACCGAGTCTGCATCGTTAACATGCCTGCAGTGGAAAGAGAAGACATAATCAATAATGGAGGATAAAGAGGATTTGTTAGTCGGAGGAGGCGGTGGTGTACTACTGGTAGCTAGCTTGAAAACTGGCGAAATTACTGGTTCGAATCGTGACTTGCTTGCTCTACCATCTTCCATGAACTAACGTCATTAAGTCTCTCCCTCTCCTAATATCACTCGCTTCGGTTTTTATATTCGTCGATGGATTTTAAATGGACTTACATTTACTTGTTTTTTTTTTTACTTTCTTCTTAGTTCCCTCGATCATTTTTGAAAATCCGGTGAATATGAATCTGGTTAAGAATGAACAATTCTGAAAAATGCTCCTTTATTTAGAATCTCTCAAACAATCTCACAAGATCTGTTTGATCAATATTACACGCAGTCAACCCTGACTCGACCCTGACTGATTCTTAACTACCCGAATTTCTCTCTCAAGTGTTCTGATTACAACCTTATGCCAGTTCTCCTCACTCACCCAATTCACCTTTTTTTTTCTTAAGGCTTGATCTAAAGTGATACGACCCGCTCCTTTAAAAAAGCTCTCGCATATTCTTCAAAGATCTCTTTCCTTAGTTAGATATTCTCCAGATCTTCTTCAAAGATCTCTTTCTTTTTCTTCTGGTCCACGTCACATTCTTATTAATCTGAACGATTATGCCACATCACTCCTGATTACCTTGTTACACGAACAGAACTTCAAACTCCTTGTGCTAACAATCTCCCCTTTTTTATCTGAATGTACTCTCTCAAGCCTCCTCTTCAATACCTGTTACTCAAGCACACTAAAACCACAAGACATAGCAATATGCAGCAAGGCATAACACACTCATACGACCAAAAACAGTAACTCAATATAGATAGATAAAATATGCCTTAGGGGATAATAAGGTCTGTTACAAAAACCACAAATAAGTAAAATAAAACTGAATAAAACTCCTGAAACTCAAGCACTATTAGATGATAAAGATCGTAAAAACTTCAAAATTCCAAACACTAATAGAAAACTCCCCCTAAGTCCTTGATCACTAGTGCAGCCACAAACTTGACTCTGTGAGGAGACAGGTTCACACGGTCTGTGGTGGGAATCCAGTTAGCACAGCACAGTCTGTACACCAACTTCATCAGAGGACTGAATGCGGGCTGTTCCAGGTCATTCCAGCAATCAACTTTTCCACTAGACAGAAGAGCCGCAGCAGCATCCAACGAATAATTGTCCAGGACTTCAGAGTATTGAGGTGACTCCCGAGAAGGATTCTCCAACAGGTTGTTGATCACATAGGGTGAGAACTCGAACATTTGACCCCGGACATAAAAATAGTTGACTCCCTCACGACATACCATATCACCCAAGTTGGCGTGGAATTCACGGACGATATAAAGGATGTATCGTTGGACATCAATCACTGAGTAGATCAGACCAGTTCGCCGAAAAAAATCTTCAAGTTCCTTGAACTGAGATGCCCCTGGTGACAGAAAGATTTGGTCATGAAACCCTCGAAGTTCCAGCTGAGCATGTCTTTGCTGTCCTTCCACAGTGTAAAAGTGATGATTGAGGGGGCGACACGGCGGCAACATCAAGTGAGGATAGTTATAATCCTTGATGAGCTGCAGCTGGCGATGGATCTCGTATCAAGCAGAGAAATCAGTGTATGGAAACACTTCTTCACAATCAGAGCTGCTGATGTGGGTGCAGTGGGCAACACAAGTTTTACCCTAGACAAGCTGCAAGTGCACAACAAACGCAATAGTACTTAGGGATCGAATCCACAGGGATTTCTGTGTTTAGGACTTCTAACTGATGCTAAAAACAATCGTAAACCTAATCTAATAAAAAAGGGTTTAGATTTGTCATTAAATCTAATTATGCAGAGAAATAAAAAGCTGGAAATAAAATCGGTTGAAAACTATATGAAAAACGGCGCTGGGTTCAAGGTTCATCTTTAGGGTTCATGTTATAAAACACGAGGAATTTAGGCAAGGATTTTCTATGACTCTTAAACTAAGATAGACACATCTAAGATTAGCCAACTCTCATCACCCTAATCATCTAATCACTTGTTCATGGCAATTAACTCTCGCTCTCATGCCAGAACAAATTCATGCTTTGTAGATCGGAATCCATCTCGGCTTACTTATCCTCCGTAGGTAGCTTTCGTCTCCTACGACGGTAACGTCCATAAGATCCATTTCAGGCAACCCAGATTCAACACTCTCGTGACTCAGATTTAACCTAGAATCAGATTATGGCGCCTTTTTCGGGGATTTGCTTTGCTGTCTTTTTATTTTTTCTTGTTCTAATTTCTGTTCTAAACACCTAATCTCTAGTTTCTTCTTAAGTTTCAGATAATCTCTTTCTTTTCTTTTCTTTTTCTCTGTCTTTTGATAAGTGCATGAATACCAGACGCAAACCTGCACCAAATATTCCGATTCTAGACGAGATTGTCAAACACAAAACATAACTTCGAAGACTTAGACGAACGCAAGGGATGGCCGACGACGACCAAACTGGAGATCCCGTAAAGCGAAACCTTAATTAAGGCCATGATGATTCCGATCATGGTGATGACCAAGAGGATGATCAGTAGATGGAGACGGAAACCAAATCCCTCCAAGAAATTCCCAAAACCGAGATGTTGTAGACCAGAGGAGAGGACGTGAAGATCTTGATGCACCAGTCAACACTGCTGAAGACGAGAACTAAGGATTACAGCCGAATGGACGCAATAACCGCTCCATTCAACCCGTAAATAACCACCGAAGACAAGCCTGAAATCATCGTATAGCTGACTTTGATGCACTGACTCAGAACTTTCAGAATCGATCTGCAATTCAAGTACCATTCCAAAACCGGAATGAGTTCGAAGTCAAGCCTCAGATAATCTCTTTGGTGAAACAAAATAAATTTCATGGAGTCCCTTCTGAACATCCAATGAAGCATATTGAGCTTTTTGAAGAAAATCTGCAGCATAATGAGAACAAACCAAGTTCTAGTAGATTATCATAAGTGTAAGTTTTTCCATTTTCATTAAGTGATAAAGCTCACCGTTGATTGAAATCTTTGCCTGCAAGATCGATTACTAACTAGGAAGAATGCGAAACCGCTTTCCTGAACCATTTCAATACTAAGTCAAGGTCGAACCTACTGAGAAACAAGATCAAAAGTTTCCAGCAAGGTCCGGTCGAATCTTTCTATGAAGCCTGGAAGCGTTTTAAGGAATATGAGCGTGATTGTACACACAACGGATTTTTCGGATCAAGCCTGCTAAGCACATTCTATAGAGGATTGTAACCGAATTACAAGCTCTCACTTAACACAGCCAGCAACAGAGATTTGCTCAAGCTAATAGCAATGATTGCCCAGAGTATGATCGCTTGACAAAGCCGACAAGAACAGACAACAAGGTGATTACCAAATTGAAGAAATGATGAGCCAACTTCTCAAGATCCATAGTCGCCCAGCCCATTGATGCGAGCAAGGGTTGCTTTCGCAAAATAGTTTTAAATTTATAAACCCTAGTGTCTGCAAGTGCACAGCCGTGTGTTGTAGTACTTAAGGTGTCGATCCACAGGGAGAGTTATCTTTTCCTGCAGAAACTTCAAATTGGATTAGTAATCGAACTCAAAGACCAATTGGGGTTTTTGTGGGGTTGTGTGTCACGATTTCTAAACTAAACAGGAAATAAAAATAGATCAAAAAAAGGATGAAAAACGTGCTGGGCATAGAGTTCATCTCTAGGGTTCATGATCTAAGATACAAGGAATTTAGGTAAGGATTTTCTATGATTCTGAAACTAGGATAGACACTTGTAAGATTAGCCAACTCTCGTCACCCTAATCATCTACCACTTATTCATGGCAATTAACTCTCGCTCTCATGCCAGAACAAGATCATGCTTTGTAGCTCAGAATCCATCTCAGCTTACGTATCCTCCATAGGTAGCTTTCGTCTCCTACGACGGGGACGTCCATAAGATCCAGTTCAGGCAACCTAGATACAACACTCTCGTGGCTCGGATTTAACCTAGGATCGGACACTGGTTAGCTCCTCCAGCGTTACCGCTTTGAGATTTGGATGAATGGGAGAGTCATTTAAAATCGAAATCCTTTAACCTAAAAAACCTAGATGTCATCGATCATGGTGTCCCTTTCGATGGCCCTCTTCACCCAGCAAGGTGACTACTCAAACATGGCTGAGCTTGACAATATCATCTTTGGTTTTGAAATAGAAAAGCAGTAAAGTAAAAGAGATTGCAGAAACTGAATAGATAGATGAAAAGAAAGAACAAAGGTTCAAGAGAAAAATCTCTATCTCCCTAATCTAAACCTAAGAAACAAAAGTTTGGTGCCTCTTTATCAAGGAGAAAGGAGCACACACGAAATTAGGTCTCTAAAATACATATTTATAGGTCTCCAAGTGTTTCTGGTCGTCCTTAGGGCTTCTTATGAAAAGAGAATGAGTTGGGCTTGAAAACAGGCCATTGGGCCAAAAATGGGCTTGTCGCAGAAACAAGTCTCTCCAGGCCTGGTAAATGTTGGTACACCGTGGATGAAGGCTCTCAGGCGTGGCCAGGATGTTGCTCACCGCAGTCACGAGCTCCTGAGCCGCGGTGGTTGGTCTATGATCTCCAAACTTCATTCCTTCTCTTGCTTCTTTCGCGAGACTGCAGAATATGTCTTCAGTAAATTGGAAATAACTTATGATCCAACCGTTGGATTGCTTTGCTTCCACTTGTATTGGAACGCTGGTTGTGTCCTCTATCTTGTCTCCAAATTGAGCTTGATCAGACAGTGAGAAGATCTTCATCGGATGTGAAAATTCTGACAGTCCGAAATTGGCCAAAAGTGGATTTTTCTCCAATTTGCATTGCTTTTGCCTAAGTAATCTGAAAAGTCTTTTAAAACTCCAAAACATGGAAAACACTTATAAAACCTTCAAAAGTGATTGAAAACACCTGCATAAGATACTGAAAGTGATCCATAAAAATGGTCAAAATCAGGTGTTATCAACTCCCCCAGACTTAAACCTTTGTTTGTCCTCAAACAAAACTAAAAATCTGAATCTGGAAAAGAAGTTTGAAAATCACAGGAACTAACAAAATCTCAGAGTCCATACTTCTAAACTAGAGTTAGTCATTATGCTCAAATCAAGGATAGTGTAGAAAATTCTCACCAAAGCACAAGCATAACTAGTCCGTTGATCCGTCATGCGAAAATCTACACACTTAAACCTATCCTCCAGTCAACTAGCTCTTAACATTCGTTCAAAAGTTCAAGTGGTTCTCATCAAAGGACTTTAGTAAAGCAATCAAGGCTAGGTATTCAAAATGGCTCTTTCAGGGTGAGGTTCTTAGTGTTTAGGGTTACCTTTTTCTGGAGAGACAAGACATTTTGCAAAACAGCAAGAGATGATGGAACTGTCAATGCCCCAACAGTTTTCAGTCACATACTCCTTGCTTGAAGATTTCTAATCTGTTTTCTTCAGGTTCTCCTTATAACTTTTTCAGACTTAGATTTTTGTCCAGGATATAAAACCAATGATCACAATTGAATACTTGCGGCCTTTGCTTCAAATAGCTTTACCCTAGACTCTTTAGACTTTTAGTTTCCTTTCCCTTCATTCTTTTTCTCTTTTTCCGATTTTTTTTTTTGAAAGGGAAAACCGCCTTTGGATGTAGAGTCTTAGGAAGCACGAAATTTACCTTTAAATTAAAGCTTTTTGAGGCACCATTGAGCTTTGATAGATTCTTGATGCTCCACTTTCTCAAATTCTTTCAGTCTTCTTTTTCAGTGACTGAAAACCATGTTGTTCCTCCCTCTCCACCGTTTTTGCACATATCTGCCAAAAGAGCTAAAGAGATAATGCATGAAGTTTGAACATAAAGGTTTGGGTAAAGGGTGTGGTATCAGCTAAAGATGAACTGGCCATCTAGGACAACAAAGAGTGGTAATAATGATGTAAAGATGTCCTAGATGTGTATCATGATGCCTGCTAAAACCAATGATGAGAAATTAGATGTCAAGATTATGTTCAAGTAGAATGAGCTAGTATATCTTGGCAGAAAAGATCTCCATGAATAGAAATCCTCTGGTGGGAGTTCGTAGTGGAAATACTCTAGCTAACGCCTAGTCTAGTACTAACCACAAAAGAAACTATCATTAGAAGCACATGGGTCTTATTCATCACAGTTTTGTTTTTGGTGTTCCTGTTTTGAAATCAGTGTTCCTATTTTCGAAAAACTTATGAAAACCTAGAAAACCTTTTATGAAAGACCTTTTATGAAAAACAAACTCGAAGCAAACCAATATTTATTAGTAAAGGATGAACATCCTCCCCCAGACTTAAATCACACTGTCCTCAATGTGAAAAAAGTTGGTGAGAAGATGGTAAATAAAAGCAAAATAGTCTAAGGAAAAGAAAAGAAAATGATGTAGAACCGTGGGTATGATGAGGTGATGGATGGGCACCTATGTCTCATGGCTGCTATCTATCTCTGTGGCAGAGGAATAATCATCATACATGTGGTTCTTTGCATGAGCACTATGCTTAGTGCGAATGAGACATACTCAGGAAAGTTCCATGACCTGCAAAACAGAGTTCTCGAGACCAAGAATGAATGAAGCTGCATTTTGAATCAAGTTTTATGAGCAAAGATGTTCATACAGCTATCTCAAACACATTCAAATGACAAACAAACTGTTATTGTATCAAAATTGCAAAATCTAAGAATTTCTGGTCAAGTTCGATATATTGATGTCCAACACATGAGATTTCTGAATCAAGATGATGCTAATGCTCACTCATATGTAATTTAATCTGGTTTTCTATCAACAAGGACCAAACAATCCAGACTTGCTAAGCTGAATCAAACAATTCTTCAAATTTTGATTTTTTCAAGTGTTCAAATCTCAGATTTCGAATATCACAAATCTATGGGGTCTAGGTATTAAATCATGCAATTTAACTACCTAGAAGTCTAGTCTTGAGCTCAAAGACAATTTCCAATCATCCTAAGGTAAATTTCTACTGATTCTAAGAAAACTCTAAATTTGAGTTCATGAGAAAAAGTGAGAAATTTGGATCCATACCTTGATGAAAGTGTGATGTGATGATAGATTTGGAATCTCCTTTGAAAAAGATGAGACAGGTTTGAAATTTTGAAAAGAATTTGTCAAGTTTAAAATCTGGTCTTTTCTCAAAATCCCCAAGCTTGTTGGGAAGATGAAGAGAAAGACCCTTTTAATCTTTTAAATCCTCTTTTTTCTCTTAAAAAGATGTTTTTCCTAAGAAAAAAGTATTTTAAAAGTTTTAAGGATTTACCTGGATTCAGGATGGATTTTAGAATGGTTATGGAGTTTTTATGATGGAAAGAAATTCTTGACAAGAAGAGATGACATTGTTGGTCTTTGTGGATCTCCTTGAAGAGATTCAAGTACAGACCACTTGCACCAAAACTTACATAATTTCTTTCTCAATGGTCAGGTACCTGATTATTCAACTCCATAAGACTGGTGACTCAAGAATCTTCAACTTTGATGAAGGGTCCGACTGCATTCGGGAAGCGCAAGGCTTCCGTCTCGCCGGTTCTTTGATGTGTATCTGATTGGTCTAGCTGCGAGACATGTTCATCTTCAAACTGCCATATATTTCATCTCACAGATCCAAATCTTACGATTCTAAGTGTTCTGGAAAGTTTACATTCTCCTCTACAAAATTTATGAAGATGGAAAAGTCTGTATCGAAGTGTAAGACCTCCGTCTCAAGCAATCTTTCAGGCGCGTCGTCAGGTGAAGGTTAGGCTGGCCGCGGGTGAGAAGATGGGTCGGCCGCGGGTCAAGGGGTCGTGGCCGCGGGTCAAGAGGTCGTGGCCGCGGTACAGGTGAGGCTGGCCGCGGGTCAGGTCCTCCAGGCCGCGGTAAACACATTTTTTTTTTGATTTTTTTGTGTTTTTGTGTTTTTGTGTTTTTTTTCTTTTTTTTTTTTTGAAAACCTGAAACTAAGAAAAGGAAAACATTTTTGAAAAAAAGAAAGAAAAATTAAAAGAAAACATACCTGCAAAGGAATTTTCTCCTCCAGGATCAAAGATTAGTCTTGGAACTTCTCTGGGATATGAATCTTCAATGCTTTCCTTTTGTGACAAGTCTTGAGGGAAGAGTCTTGAAGGCTATCTATGCTTCACTTTGGCTCCATCTGAGTCTTGATCATGTCCCATATGAGCAAAGATCAAGTGTACATCAAAAGAAACATT